AGGGTCAAACCTGTGGCAAAGTCCAACAGCCTGACAGGTGTCATAACCCCAGTGAAGACCCCTGCTCTGAAACGCATCGGACAGTCCATTTCGGTAACGGTGCACAAACACAAAGTCAAAAACAAAGTCACAAAACGAATGACTTGTGCATGCTGACACTCATCCACTCTGCTCTTTTCACAGCGCTCCATCAGTTTTCGCACAGAGGCTCGACCTTTGCCCCCGGCTCCCCTGCGCTCTCGCCCAAAGGCCTCGTCATTTCCACGCCGGCGCAACAGCCAGTGTTGGAGTGACACTGTGGAGAGTCATGACCTCACTGCAAAGGAGATCAAGCGTCAAGAGGTGCAAGAAGCAGCGGGCTATGTTTAGTTCATTTGCAGAAACAAAATTTCTCTGCTTGTGTATTTAATATAAAGCTTTGTGTGTGTGTGTGTGTTTTTTTTTTTTTGGAGGGTAAGTGGGTCAAGCTGTGGGGCTGTGGTTTCAGTGTGGGCGGGGTGACTAGAGCCTACCCTTCATTTCTGTGAAGCAGCGCTACATGGGGATTATGAAAGAGGATGTGAGCTGGCACTGAAGGCTCAACTTCCTTTATTGAATAATCAGCTGTGAGAGCTCACGCAATCCATCTGTGTATTTTACCACTTGTGCAAGTGTGTGCTTGCATCCACATGATGGTGTCTGCAAATGGTTCCACCTGTCTGGTTGAAAACATCAAGCGCGTTTGTCTCTTCCTGCAGGTGATCTATGAGCTGACTCAGGGAGAGAGACAACTTATTGAGGACCTCAGTCTGGTTAAGAAGGTACTTGCCCACCTAACGCCTCCACCTGAGTAGAATACACTGAATATATGTGAACGTCTCTTCATTGGAACCGGTCATCCCAGTTACTCTGACACCAACAAAAATCTGACAAATTAGTTGTTTAGACATACACTACTAGGATCTCATTCAGCTACTTCACCACACACTTCTGTGATTCATTGGATTCTCTCTTCTCTTTGGCCTCCTGCCCAGGTGTACTATGAGCCCATGCTGAAGCTGGACATCATGACGGAGAGTGAGCTTGGACAGATCTTTGGTACTCTGGACTCCCTGATTCCTCTCCATGAAGGTAAATCACCTCTCTGCCTTTCACTTTCTCCTGTTATCTCAATCTCTACCCATGAGCCAGCAACACCTCCTCATTTCCTAATCTTGTACAAAGCAAGTTGGGCTGTGCAATACCTAAACATTATCAGCGGTTGACGTTCCGTGGAATTGTATCTTATTAAAGGTTATCTCTTCACAGATTTTAGTCAAATGAATTATATATTGTTGACAGCTACATCAGTAAAAACAATTAAGAAGGGTCGGACTCTATGAATAATAATGCCTATAAATGTTTAACAGGGACATTTGAAAAAAAAAATTAGGTAATGGCTCAATGGTGGAACACTAATTCAAGTATTTTATTTGTGAGTTTGTATACATTTGCCATACGGTGATATACAATGTATTAATAATGGAAAATAGTTTAGTTGTTAATATTGTGATATTACTTTTAATAACATTGCCCAGCCTCAGAAGCAAGTGTGGAAAGTCACACAAGGAGAGTATTCATTCATTCAACCATTAACTACACAACTGATGTGCCTTTTTTTTTCAGGTATAGGAAGTTGGATGAGTTACCTGTGATGGTTTTGTGTCTGTTTTTGAGTGGCGCTAACACTTTTATTCAGTCATTAAAAGTCGATAAGAATTCAGCAGATCAAGTATTGTGTTTCATGTCAGATCTGCTGAGTCGTCTGGAGCGGCTGAGGGGATCAGAGAAGACGGTCGGAGAGGTGGGGCCTACTCTGATGAACTGGGTGAGTATCTCCATGGACACCGCGGAGAGAGAAGAAGAGAAAAGGGCACAACCCACCTTCACTCTCTTCAGTTCCTCTATTTCCTCTATTATGTTCCTCTCAAAAAGTCACAGAGTTCAGTCTGTGTACATCTCTGCTTTCATCTGACCTCAGATTTCTTGCTTCATGGCTTCTTTAACCCCCACCCCCCACCCCCCACCACCACCCACTCACTTTCCTCTCTGCAGTTCCCTTGCCTGGAGGCCTATGTTACATACTGCTGTAACCAAGTGGGGGCCAAAGCCCTGCTGGACCAGAAAAAGCATGAGAAGAGAGTGGAGCACTTCCTGCGCCTGTGTCAGGAGTCTTCGTTCAGCAGGAAACTGGACCTGTGGAACTTCCTGGATCTCCCTCGAAGCCGTTTGGTCAAATACCCGCTGTTGCTGAAAGAGATACAGAAGTGCACGCCTCCAGAGCACCCTGATGAGGACACATTGCCTGATGCTGTGAGTTGTGAGGGGGGAGAAACGCATTCACACGTATTGTGTATATACGTGTGAATATGAACATATGTTGTTGATGTCATTGATGTGCAATCAGTAACTTGAAAATAACATAGTTATATTCATGAACCTAGCTGGGCTGTAATCACTTTATACCAAAGGAGATTCGAGTAATTAGAAATTTGTTGCTGCATCTTCCTGTGGACATTCAAGGTGTACATTTGAAACAGGATACTACCTGTACTGCTACATTTTGCTCAAAATGTATTGTAGGAGTAGTATACTATTTTAGTCCGACCCAGAATTCTCCTTTCAGCCTCACAGTGTCTCACTGTGGTTTTGCTGATGCTGTGTCACACTTTGTTCTGCTCAGCTGGAGCTGATCCAGAGCATCGTGGCGGAGGTGAACAAGAAGACAGGGGAGGCTGAGTGTCAGTTCTACAGGCGGGGTCTCGGCTACCTCGAAGAGAGCCAGAGACTGCCCGAGATTCAGCAGTCCCGCTTCCTCTACTGCCACGGAGAGCTCAAGAACAACAAGGGCCAGGTAGCGGCTCTCTGTTGTTACGTGTCACTTTCCATTGATTGACCTTCGAGTGGTGTTGCTGGGGTTGTTTGAGGGTCAAGTCTTCTACATTCATATGTAATATAAAGATAAAGATGTTAACATAATATCTGAATAATAGGTGATTTTTCTTTGCTTTTGCTAACTTATGTTTGAATATAGTGGTAAATAGTCTCCTGAGGTCATATCTCTCGCTTTATGTGTGTGTATGTGTGTCTCCTCCGTCAGCGGCTGCATGTATTCCTGTTCGAGCTGGCTTTGGTGCTGACAAGGCCGGGTGAGGACAGAGAGGGAGGTCAGGTGTTCAATGTGTACAGACAGCCTCTGCCCAATGCCTTGATAAATCTGGAGGAGATCCCAGATGGGGAGGCTGGCGGAGGGGGCACCTTCAGAGGAGCCTTCACTGGGGGAAATGATAAAGGTAACATATACATAACATATATATGTTGTATTTGTTGCTAAATTATGAGGAGACAGGGCTTTAGGGCTGCAACTAATGATTATTTTCATTTGTTTTTTTTGTTTTTTTTAATTAATGGATTAATCTATAACTAATAGTCAAAAAGTTTCTACGGCTCAAGCTAACATTGTCTGAAGAATTGTCCAAACCCCACCAATATTTCATTTACAAAGAAGGAGGAGCAGCAGGTCGTCAAAACTGCTGTCACCCATAAATAGTCGGCATCTTTCTTTGATAAATGGCTTAAAGGAACGCTGTTCTGATGATCAGCTAATCAAGTTACTGTTACAGCACCACAGTGATGTGTGTATACTTTGTTATGGCATACATGACCTGTGTACCACATTTCACTTTTGTTTGTACTTTTTGTTTCATGACCCGTTAGATGAAATGAAACCTACAACCTTGCTTCCTTTCAATTTCCGTCTTCCTCCCTCTCTGTCTCTCTCTGTCTCTCTGTCTCTCTGTCTCTCTCTCTCTCTCTCTCTCTCTCTCTCTCTCTCTCTCTCTCTCTCTCTCTCTCATCCCCCTAGTGAAGAACTGTTTCCGCGTGAGCAGCAGAGGGCGCTCCAAGGCTCACCCTTACAGCCTGCAGGCCAACGACTCCTTCAGCAAGCAGCAGTGGATCACCTGCCTGCGCCAAGCCATCGTCCAGTCGCGGGACAGGACATCTCAGACCAGACAGTCGCAGTTCTCCCTCCACCCTGATCCGGCCCTGTATCACATAGCTGAGCTCAGCCTCAGCTCGGACACAGACATGGCCGACCATACCAGCCGCTGACTGGCAAACTGATCATCAGGAGGCCTGTGGAGTCACCACAGATGTGTACATTGACATTGGAGAATATAAATGGGACTGCTTGTGAAAGATGATTGTGCTTAGACACACATGTAAAATTTTCTACATGGATAATTTCTTTTCTTGCTCTTGCGGATGGATTGTGCGATTGTGGTGATGCATACTGTACAGCTTGGAGCAGTGATACTGAATGTGAATTTACTATGAAAAATGTTTTTGCTGTTGTTTTTTTTTTTTAATAAACTGACACTTGAAAGTTTATTGAGATATTTGTGGAAAAGTATACAAAGAAAAGTCTAAGTATAGCCAACGAGTTCTACAGAGAAAAGATTAGAGATGATTATCCTCCCTCCCTCCCTCTCTCCTTTCTCTCCCTCTTTCTCTCTTTCGCTCTCTCTCTCTCTCTCTCTGACACCGGTGACAGAGCAGGGGAGAGAGGTAGACTTTCAGTTCCAGCCTACAGACACACAGTGAAACAGTAGACGTCCCCTTATGCATTTTTAACAGCTCAGCAGGTGATGGGAACAGTTTGGTTGGGACAGTTTGTCCAGAGATAGAGTGACCAAGTGATCAGGTGAGTCAAAACTGCTCTGTTTATCTGCTAATGCTACAGTATTTATCAGGCATTATTTGCAAACTAACTTTGTTTGCCAGATTTTACCCTTGAGCTGCACGAAACGGCAACCAGAGTGTAGATTGTGCAGTGCAGGTTCAGGACAGAGATTGGCATGTTCTGTGTTACAATTCATATAATTGACTATTTTAAGTAAGTTAAACCTAGTTTTACAGTTTAATTGATTAAAACTCATCTCCTTTTTGTAACTATTGTGCTCTCAAGAAGATATGTTGATATCTGGATTCACTGAGTTCTCTGTCGGACCGCGGCTTCCCGAGCTACTCAGTATGCTGTAATTAGGAGAGAGAATTGTGAGCCAGAGTGGATCAACTGCATCTATTCAAGATCAGGATTTACCTTAAGGGGAATGCTCATTCACAAATTAATCCTGTTCTTTTGCCCTCAGTTGTGAATGACGTCCCTCGTGATTTTCCTGGAAAGAAAGGATAATACTCTCTGTCAGACAGTTGACGTGCTACGACCACGTCCTGCTCACCTTTGACCGTGCATGTGAAAAAAACATCTAACCCAGTCTTGAGGTGCAAACCACCTGGCTTGCACTTCTTCAGGAAACTCTTGTATCGGTCTCAGGATCCCTTTTTTGGTAGACACTTGTGAGGTTTACCAGTGAGACAGGATGCCTGGAGCCAGCGGTGTCAACGTGGAGGGGTCTTGCGAGGCCCTGTGTCGAACCCTGGTGTCTCAGAAGGGCCTCCAGAGAGAGACGGCTGACATCTCCCAGTCTGTCCTCTACACCTCTCTGATGGGCCTGCTGCTGGTCACTGACAATGAGGTGCGCACAACACGACACAACACAGCATGAACCTTTAATTCATGCTCAAACCTTCAAGTTTGGTCGTTTTCAGAGTTTGTTCTTAATGTGGAACTGATGGGACACTTGTGAGTCAAATGTAAACACAGACAGAGACATCGTATAAAGGAATTAATGGAGAGTACATATCAACACACACGTGTTTAAGCACCTGTCAGCACTCCTTGGTCACTAATAGGATGACTGCTGGAGGCTGACCTCCTTTTAGCCTCTCTTGTTATGTTAATGAGATAAGAAGGCTAAATCTGTCCCACCAATGTTACACACACTGACAAGGCGGGGTTAATGCACACAGACAGTAACATGCTGTACGGACACAACCAGGGGTCAAATAGGAGGACACACCCAGTACATGTGCATACTTTTTTTTTAGACAAATGAATACACATCTTTATACTGTCCTGTAGTTCTGGTCTGGGGCCGGTTTCACAAAGATATTCTAGACTGGTCTGTATTGTTAGGTAAGTCTTATTTTTTCTTATAGATCAGTCTCATGCAAGTAAGACTGTCTTACAAAAATTAAAACACCTTACCCCCAGGCTGACTCAGGCCTAAGACCAATGTTTCCATGGAAACAATCAATGATACCTGCAGTGAACAGTAGCACAGAGCAGCAAAAAAAAAACTGAAAGCATGGCTCATAATTTGAGCAATGAGAAGTGACAGAGATTTTAGAGACCACGGTAAATGTTTTTCCAAATCAAATTTTTCTTTTTGTTGTTACACTCTTCACTGAATTTTCCAGGTAAAATGTCCTTGTAATTGTTGTCTTTCAAAAGTCAAACATTTTCTGCTGAGGTAAATGGAGCTCAGTGGTTGGATGTACTTCCTTGGCCGCCCTTTTTTTATTTTTTTTATTTTGAAATTTACCCAGAATTAATTGTACAGCAGCTTAAGATAGTCAAGAACTAAACTGCTTTGTGCAACAGATGAATTTAGACGTCTATCTGAAGTCTGACTATTTGTTCTATCTAAGCCACAGTCTATCTTTCTGAGACTGGCCACTGGTCTCTATGTGCAGTTCTGCATAGCAGCTTCCTGTCTTCTTTTTATTTTACAGAAAGAGCAGCTCACTCTAGGAAGTGGAAGGGTTGGCCTTAGAAACATAGGAAACACAGTAAGTGTCGATGCAGGATGAAACCCTTGAAATAATCGCTCCTTCCAATAATTCCTCCTGAATTGCCAGAATCATTTTTTTCTTTACACCAACATGCTCACCACCCGTCCCTTTCACTTTGTTTCCGACTTAGTGTTTCCTGAACGCAGTAGTCCAGTGTTTGTCTCACACACGTGGCCTACGGGACTACTGCCTCGTCCAGTCCTACAGGCATGAGAAGTTTTCCAAAGAGGAGGCTAAGCTCATGGAAGGTATGTTTCTCTCTCCTCTCCATGCCCCTTCTTGCACATAATGTTTTTGTTTTTTTAGCCAATTTTCTTATTGTCACTTTTTATTCCTGTACCAGCTTTCTCTCAGGTGCTGTCAGGCCTTTGGGATGTAAATGAAGGAGACACAGTTGTAAATCCACGACAGTTTTACAATATTTTTAAAGAAGCGGTGCCTTATTTCAGTGGTTACAGGTGAGAATATTGATGATTTTTTTTCTTTCTTTTTCTCAAGGTTCACTGCATCTTTCTGAGGGACTTTTTATGCGATCAGCAAAACTATTTCAAGGACAAGAAAAACTTGCTTTCTCCTTTGCTGCTTTTTGGTTTTATCGTTGAGGCTTGTATGGAAGTAGCTGCCTGTAACAGTGACATTAAGAAATGTCTAACTCAGTCAACAGGATGCTCAGGAGTTTCTCAGGTTCCTGTTGGACAAGCTGCACACAGAAATCAACCGCAGGCCCTACGTTCGACGGACAGGGAAGGAGCCTGAACAAAAATATGCCAGAATTAGGTGAGCTGAGTGTTTATTTGGAAAAGATTCTATCATTGAAACTTTAAAGTCCTTCATGTGACCACATTTTGTTTCCCCTCATCTCTTATCCTCCTGTAGACTTTCAGAGGAGGCAGTTGCCATGTGGAAGAAGCACTTAGAAAGAGATGACAGCAGAATAGTAGGTGAGGACAGAAGTCCAGTCAGTATCATCTGCAAAATAACTTCAGTACAGGCGACATGTGATGTTTCTTGCTTCTGTCACCCATCTGACAGACCTGTTCTCAGGCCAGCTGCGGAGCTCGCTGCATTGCTCAGTGTGCTCCCACTACTCCAACACATTCGATGTGTTCTGTGATCTATCGCTGCCCATCCCCAAGAGGATCTCTGCAGGGGAGGTCACGCTGAGGGAGTGTCTGGACCTTTTCTCTCAGGAGGAGAAACTGGACAAGGAGAATTCACCGGTAAGTTAACGCATTTGTTTTTCCAATCATACTCACCTACACTTTTCATTTTAGTTATTATGTTCTTGTTGAAAACATGGAGTAAATGTAAACTGTAAATGAACTGGCACCCCAGCTCTCATTTGTCTCCTACAACATCCAAACAGGCTTCCAAAAAGATCAGTTAAGGGTTTACTTTTTACATTTATGTTCCTACATTTGTTCACAAAATACCAACATCATGGTAAAAGACACAACAATAGAGCTTTTGGTTTATGTGAGCAGAGGAGGGAGGAATTCAGAGGGATCATATACAATATCCTACAAAACAATCAGTCTAAAGAAACATTAAAGAGCAAACTAACTATCAAAAACTTATGAAAGGTTATCTGCCACTGATGTTTTTTCAGCTGAATCCTGAAGACATAAAACAAAGTTGGTGATTTTGTATGATTTCAAACTGTTCCAGAGTGGGACCTCTGGCTATAGTTAGTGGTATCTTGATATTGAGAAATATGATAAATATGTAAGTTAAAGGAAAATTCAGTTGATTTTAGAAATGAAGGTTTCAGGGAGGCCGTCAGGTACAAATACTTACAAATGAATGCATATGTTAAAAGTAAAAAAAGTTATAAATAGTTGATAGATTTCATTTCCTGTTGGGCAGATGAATCATAACTAATTCAATTTGTTACCATTTAAAAAAAAAAAAAAGAATATTAAATAAGCACCAATCGCTGTTCAAGCTTGAAAAGAAAGTTATTATCTATAATTTTTTAGAGTTTAAGACTCAGCTATCCAGTTTCAGCAGGACTGCCTGGATGTCGTTTGATCAAAAAGTGGCCTTGACTGAAAGTGGCAACATAAACAAACAGCCCCACAGCTGTCCTAACACTTTGACTCAACTGTTGCTAAATTCTGATTGCTGCACAGACATGCATGACACCACTTTCTCCATCTTTGCCCCACCCACTTCAAACCAGAAAAAAAAAAAAGGGCATAGACAAAACAGTCCAGACTGAAATCTTTCATGTGAAACCAAAACTGGTTTATCCACGGCAGAAAATGACATGTTCATTCAGGACCTCATCTCTCACGATAAGAAGCTGATAGAATATGATATTTAACAATAGTATCTTGTGGTGCAAAATGTTGAGGTGTCTGTTTGTCTGTGCGTGTTTCAGATGTGCGAGAGGTGTAACAGGCGTACAGAGTGCACCAAGCGGCTGTCCATCCAGAGGTTTCCACAGGTTATTGTGATCCGTATCCTTGGCAACAGCTGCTTCTTACTGTATTAACATTGTGAGCAAGTGAAGTTCGTGTGCAACAAGTCATGATGATGCTTAACAGTGTCGATCAGATCTGAATCGTTTCACGACAGCACGGTGGTCTATCAGTAAAAGCACAGTATATGTGTCCTTCCCTCTCACTAACCTGGACCTCGGACCCTACGGACCTGTTGACTGCGGTACTGCTACAAAACCTTTCTCTCCATGTGCCTATGTACAAGTCTCATGTATTCCTCCATCGTTATTTCCTCTCATGTGCATGCATGCTTGGCACCACCATGTGTGTTACCGTGTGTTGTTTAATTCATTGTGGGAATGGAGTGAAAAGTTGAAATAATAGTGTGCAGGCAAGGTTAAAAAACAGGATCCTTGTCAAGGTTCTTTTTTTTTAAAGAAAGAAAAGGAGCCACACATGGGTGAAAGTCATTCATTTTGACAAGAGGACGCAGCCCACACAAAAACAGCATTTTTGAAAGCTTGCTTTTTGACATTTTATTTTGATAACTGATAGTTGAGAGAAACAAGAGACACGAGGAGAAAGAGATCTGGGTGTACCTAAACCATGAAAACATCAAATGGTTGAAGTATGGCAAGATGGTCCACCAGAGCAATGAATCACCGATGAATCATTTAGATAAATAAATGAATAAAGACAGATGCTTTGTGTGAATCTATTACCAGGAAACATTTCACTGATTGACAAAATTAATCAATTACATGTTGATTAACTAATTAAAAAACAACAAATTATACTTTTAATAGAAAAAATACAATTTTAATAGAAAATAATGGCACATTAGCAGATAATCAACAGCTAATGTGCTTTTTATAATTAGATACTTTTCAGTTGTTTTTTTTGAATGTGACAGATAATTGTGATTTTTTTACAACAGGCCCAGTTCTGTATGATTTATATGCAATATGTAACCACGCTGGGACGGTGAACATGGGCCACTACACAGCCTGCTGTTCTGATGAAAATGGTTGGTGCTTCTACAATGACTCCAGGTGAGACTCACCCAGCACCCAGATCATTTTGTTTAATATACAATGCTCTGACAACTGCTCATCACAGACAGTATTTAAAAAGGCTACTGTATCTATGGGTCTGTCTGTATTGAGACGCCTTCTATATAAACTTGGATCTGTTTCTCATGACTACTCTCTATCTCTTCATCTGCAGTGTGACTCCAGTCTCAGAAAACCAGCTTCAGACCAATCAAGCCTATGTGCTGTTCTACCAGCGCAGCAACAGCACCACCACCGTCAGGAAATAGACCACACACTGGCTGAGTCAGGCAGCCAATCAGAGCAACTTCACCTCCAGTGTCCATAGAAACAAATAGAGGCAGCAGTGCTGTAACTCTGGCATCTATGAACTTCTCAGTCTCAGAGAGAGAAGCCATGCCTACTTTAAGGGGGCTTGAGGAGGTGACCCCTCCGCCCCCTTAATCATGAAGATGCTTTTGAAGAGTGTCAGTGAGAGAGCTGAGACAGCTGAGACAGACTGTAGCCTTAAGAGTCTCTGTGCCCTAGTTCTCAGGCAGGAGTGAGTGAGCCGTGTATGTGCAGATCATGCAGAGCTCTTAATGTAAGCTAACCGGGATTCATGCTTGCTAACATAAACCCAAACGAAGAAATGTTAATCTAAATTAGAAATTAGACAACATTTCATGACTCAACTGTGACATAGGAATTGTTCAGATTCTCTGACTACATTTTGGCTACAGTTTTCTGAAAATACACTTTAAAATGTAAATATCTGTATCCTATGCTGTCTTTTTATCTTCATCTCCTTCCACATGGACAGTTAACTCTGAAACTTGAAAATATTAAAATTAGATATATTTTCTCTCTAATTTTCTCTCCATATTATAATTTCCATGTGTGTATATACACAATATATATACATATACACTATATATAGTACATACTATATGCTATGTAGTATATACATATAGTATGTATGTATTTTTTTTTTTTACATTTGTGGCTATTGCACAAAATCATAAAAATATTTTGTACATATGGACAAATAACACATCTGAATGTAATGCATTACTGATATTTGAAACAGTCAATAAAAGACCAATACAACATCTGATGATTAGACTCGATACATTAGGTTATGTGCCACTGACTTTATTATTATCGTTACTGGTGTTGTTGTCAGTGGTGGAAGAAGTACTCAGATCCTTTACTTAATTAAAAGTAGCTTTAGATTAATGTAAAACTTACTTGCCTGGTAGTAGAAGTTCTGCATTCTGTTTACTTAAATAAAAGTACAGAAGTATTATCAGTTACATTTAATGAACATATTAAAAGTAAAAGTACTTGTTTTGATTAAAGTTAGCCCCTGTTACTGATATAATATTACACTATTAATAATGATACAGGTGCACCAGGATGAGCTAGTTTTAACTATTAGTTACACAGTGTTATCTCTCATCTTTTCTTTTTGTGAGTTTTACTTCTTTGGACCTCAAGCAGTTATTCAAATGCAAAGCATGTGAAAGGTATAGGGGTGCTACTCATGGAACCTACTAGAAAATATTTTTTTTGTCATATTTCCTATCTCAAATTTAAATCTGAAAAAAAACTTGTAACTAAAGCTGTCAAATGTAGTGAAGTAGAAGTATAATAGTGACATAAAATGTTATTACTCAAGTAAAAAAGTGCCAAAAGCAGTACTCAAGAACAGTACTTTACTAAATGTACGTAGTTACATTCGACTGCTGGTTGTTATGCTGTTTCACATAATGAAATGTAATAAATAATCCAAATATATATGGTGAATATTTAATATTCTTTATGCTGTACATTTAAGTAAAGGTAGAGACAGTACAGAAAAATGTTATAGAGCATCTTTGGTAAAGGTGCTGCAGCCTGCTGACGAGTGACGTATTTGCGCACATGCGTATGAGCGGTGGGCGGAGTTTTCCAGTCGGTCAGGAAGAGGAGAAAGGCGGACACAGAAACATCAAGCGGTAATCTTATTCGGTAATAGGTTTTAAACTTTAAGCCGATTCTTGTTTCAGTCACAGGAGTATCACAGTAGTGCGATGAATTCTGTAGTTATAATTTCAGAGAAAATACCTGGAGTGACAGTAATCCAAACCACGGGAAACACCGTTAGCTTTGCTGCTAGCTGCTGTTAGCTGGTTTGACAGGCCCGGACTACACTGCACAGCCTTTCAGCAGGAATGAGAACACAGCACGGAAATGTTCTCTGTTTACACCCTCAGCCGCCGAGGCAGACTCCCTGTTTGCCAGCCGGGACATTTTGGCTTAAATCTATGTCGTACATTAGTATATTTAAATGAAAATCTAAGATATGAGTAGACTTGTCTGTCAGCGTTACGAACGTTGTGTGTGTTACTTCTGCTTAACAGGAGGAACTGTTGATGAAACATACCGTACATTGCACCGTATACAACACACACAGTTTGAACGTCTGACTCGCCCTGTTTGTGCAGTAGTACACTATTGGTGAAATGTTGTTGGGGTGTATTATTAGTGGACAGTGGTGACTTTGACTTGACAACCCAAGTGTAACCTTGTTCTTGACACCTTTTCATAGATGGCAGCCATCAGGAAGAAGTTGGTGATAGTTGGGGATGGTGCGTGTGGGAAGACCTGTCTGCTCATCGTCTTCAGCAAGGACCAGTTCCCTGAGGTCTACGTCCCCACTGTGTTTGAGAACTATGTGGCAGACATTGAAGTGGATGGGAAACAGGTGAGACACACTGTAAAACACTGGCTGCAAACCAGGGGGTGGGAGCCCAACAGTGCCTTGAAGAGATGGTATGAGTCCCCAGCAAAATGACTAATAAAAGTTTAAACTAAATTTTACTTATTTACCTAACTGTCAAATACAGCTGGAAAAATCAGTTGATTATTTGATTAATCCATAGACAAAAAATTAGTCTGCAGATATTTTGATAATCAAATAATTGATTTAGTCATATTTTAAGCAAAAATGCCCAACATTTGCATTTGCCAGTTGCACCTTCTTAAATGGGACATCTTCTGTCTCATATATGATAGTGAATGGAATACATTTGACTTTGGGACTTTCTGACATTATTTAAAACAAAACGATTAATCAGTTAAATGAAGAAAAAAGTTGCCGGTTTAACCGTAATTAGAATAGTGTTTAGTTGCAGCTTTATTGTCGTTGTTCTAATAACTTGTTTTAATATTGTGAATGCTGGAATGTCATTTTTGTCTGAATTTTGGGCTACAGCTGCTTTTTTAAATCTCGATTACTGGTTGGGTTTATAAAATGTCTGAAAACTGTGAAAAATGTTCATCATAGTTTCCAGAGTCTAAGATGACATGTTCAAATTAGGGCTTTTTTTCCTAAATGATTTCTGCAAATGACAGTTCCACTTTGACTTCACATCCATTCCTAAACAGATACTGTGATAGGTATTGATATTTTGAGAGTCTTCTTGTTCTTGCTCTCTTGTTTTTACATATCTCCCTGAACTACCAACAGTATATGCATTCTTACTTTTCTCTCTGCTGTCTTCCTATATACACAGTACAAACATGTAAATGGGTCTGATTAATTGTGTAACTTAATGCTGATATGGTCATCTTTACACATCCAACACTCCAAACTCTCCATTTTATCCATGCAACTGTTCATTCACATAACTCTGTCTCTGTTTTTTCAGGTAGAACTAGCACTTTGGGATACAGCAGGTCAGGAAGACTACGACAGACTGAGGCCTCTCTCCTACCCTGACACTGATGTTATCCTCATGTGCTTCTCCGTAGACAGCCCTGACAGTTTAGGTACTGTCTTTGCAACACTCACACCACTGTGTGTTGAACACCTTATGATTGTAAAATAGATATATGTTGCTAATTACTGCACTCTTTCCCTTGACTCTCTATAGAGAATATTCCAGAAAAGTGGACTCCTGAAGTGAAACACTTCTGTCCAAATGTTCCCATCATCCTGGTGGGCAATAAAAAAGATCTGCGCAATGATGAGCACACCAGACGAGAGCTTGCCAAAATGAAACAGGTCAGTTATTTTTGTTCAAATGTACAGGAATGTGCACATTTGTTGGTATAAACCTCAAAATCTAAACCCTCTCTCACATGTGTCTCTAGGAACCAGTTAAATATGAAGATGGCAAAGAGATGGCAAACCGCATCAGTGCCTACGGCTACCAGGAATGTTCTGCCAAAACCAAAGATGGTGTGAGGGAAGTCTTTGAGATGGCAACTAGGGCGGCACTGCAGGCCAAGAAACGTGGCAAGAAGTCCACCTGCCTTCTGTTATAGGCTCTGGGATAAGAGGAGGGAGCTGCCCTTAAGCACAGATGGAGAGGGCAGCTTCTAATGAGATTTGACATAGGGGAGAATATTGGGGAGGGCCCAGAAAAGTTTTGCAGATGCTCAATTTCTGATCACCCAGTTATCCTCAGCAAATTAAAGTAGGTCTGAAATGATTTGATAGGCTTCCACACATTGGTCCTTTGTCGATACATTAGGTTATGTGCCATTTTGCTTGTGTCTATCAAACATTTTCAGATCTAGAAGTCTGTAGGGCAGGTGGTGGTGGGGTGGTTTGAAGTTGAGTAGATGCAAACAGGTTGAAATGTGCCATGATGGGAATGAAGAGAGAAAAGGTCCTTACCAGGCCAAAGACAATGGGGATATGAAAGAGAAAAAAAAGACAGTAATATAAAACATTTTTGAATTAAGAACATGTCTAAGTGGATTTTACACAGTATCGCCTACATGTAGTGCCTTGAGAGCAGTGGTCAAGAAGAGTAAGTTGAGGGGTAGGGATTCATAACTTAGATGGGGTGTTATTTTGTCATTTGTAGTGTCCACACTTCACGTTTGTGAATGCTTTTTCCCTGTCATTGGCTTGGCTCCTTCAGGCCCATATTCTGACTCAGGCGCTATGCAGGGGTATGCCTAAACTAGATTGTATGAGATATTTTCCCATACTGAATTACTTACCTGAACTTCAGAGTGTGTGTGTGTGTGTGTATGTGTATGTGTATGTCTGTGTGTGTGTATGTGTGTATGTTGTGTGCAACTGTATGGTGGTTCGTTTTTTCCAGTGCAGGTCTGCATGCAGTGAATGTGTGTATATTTGTGTGAGTGTGTATTAACATATGTGTCTACGTACTGTATGCATGGAAAAGCCCTCTGCGTCAATGACCTAACCCCTTGTTTCCATGCCAAAGTTACCCCTGATGACCACATTTTATGGCTCAGATGGGTAATGGAATTAACAGCTACTCAGAGTGACATAGAAACCTTCACTTTACTGGAAGACATTGTACTATAGCTAGAGGCACAATCAGGTTAAACATATTATAAGTTTTTAGGACCTTTTTTGTGTATACCAGAGATTCATTTGATTGTGTTAATCAGTGGGTCAAATCACGAGTGGTGTAGTTGATAAGTTGAAATATTCTTTCATATAGATGATAGGCTTATCTTATTACTATAATGTCCATTATGTACTGTATGTCTTACAAGGCCTTGTAAGGACATGTTAATGATGTGTATTTCAAGTTTGCCTTTTACTCAACCCTCCCCATCGCCCCTTTTATGATATTGTCATTATTGTACTATAACTTTTTATTGTTGATGTCTCTAAATTTTCTTAGTATTTTTTAATCATTATACTTAATCCTGCTGTTATGATCAGTTTATGTCAGTTAAATGATAAATTGTAACCGTAGTATTATTTCATTTAATTAATTGAAGGTCAAGCTTGGGGTGCACAGTTGGAAGATTTTGGGGGTGGGCTGCGAGAGCATTTTGGGTTTTTTTTTGTTTTTTGTTTTGTACTGTGTCATATTGGGATTTCTGGATTTTTTTTTTTTTTTTTT